ACCAGAACAAAAATAGACAATAGGGATTCTATCCAGCTCTGCACAGCAAAGAAAATCATTAACAAAGTGAAAAGACAACCCACAGAATGGGAGAAAATACTTGCAAACTATCTATTTTACAAAGGATTAATAACCAGAATATGCAAAAAGCTCAAGCACCTTAACAGAAAAAAATTAATAAATAAAACATATGGCCAAAAGACCTGAATAGATATTTCTCAAAAGAAGCCAGGCAAATGGCCCACAGATATTGGAAAAATGTTCAATGTCACTAATCACTGGATAAATGCAAATCAAAACCACAATGTGATACATCTCACCCTAATTAAAATAACTTACAACAAAACAACAGGAAATAACACATGCTTGTGTGGATGTGGACAAAGGGAAACCCTCTTACACTGTTGGTGGGAATATAAATTAGTACAGCAATTATGAAGGACACTATGGAGATTTATCAAAAACTTGAAGTAGGACTACCATATAATAGCAATCTCACTCCTAGGTATACGCTCAAAAGAGAGGAAATTAGTATATCAAAGATATATCAATGCTCCCATTATTATACCACTATTCACAAATGCCAAGATTTGAATTCAACCTATGTATTTCAACAGATAAATGGATAAAGAAATATACACACACACACACACACACACACACACACACACAATAGAATATTAATCTTATCAATTACAGTAACATAAATGGCACTGAAAGCAATTATGCTAAGTGAAATAAGCCAAGCACAGACAGACAAATATCACATGTTCTAACTTATGTGTGAAAGCTAAAAATGTGGGTCTTATGAAGACAGAGAGTAGATTGGTAATTACCAGAGGCTGGAGAGAAGAGAGAAAGGACAAATGAAGAAAAAAAATCTGTGTGTGTGTGTGTGTGTGTGTGTGTGTGTGTCTGTGTGTGTATACGTATATGTAGGTATGTATATATAAATTTTCATATTGTATGTATCACACTGAACTGTACATATATATGTATGCATATATGTATGTATTATCTGTACATATATATGTATGCATATATGTGTATGTATGTGTAACTGTACATATATATGTTTGCATATATATGTATATGTGTATTCCCACTAAACTGTTTAAAAATGGTAAAGATGGTAAATTATATAGGTATATTTTACCTTAACAAAAATAAATTAAAAAATATTCAGTAGACTAGCTAAAGATATCTAGAGGGTTAAGTATTGATTCATGCGTAAACATTTTCCAATATTTACAAGTAAAATGAAAAAATACCCTTGAGTTAAATGTATAACCCACTGACAATGTTTCAAAGGATGTGAGGGATGAACTAAAATTTGGACAATCCATGCTGGTCCTATGTACCTGGAACAGAGGGAGAAAATCTGGGCTGGAAATACTGTTATAGGTGTTAGCACATGAAGTTGACAACTAAGTTATTTGGAGTATGGAGTTACTAGCACATATGCATAGTTTAAGAATGAGATGACCCAGGATAGAACTTTGAACAGCCCCGAAATTTAAATAAGGCCAGGATAGGAGAAGAGAAAGAAACCAAATGGTATACTACTCTAAATTGTTCCTTAGTGACAAAAGAATAAACTGAATATTAGCTTAGCTGCTTATATGATCTCTAAATCAATTCCATTCAACATGCAGCAGTACTATTGTTTTATACTCCTTCACAGAGGAAATTCTGGAAAGAGTACATAGGGTTCCTTGTCTTTTCATTTGCATTCCTAACTCTCCTGGAAATCCATTGTAAACATTCTCCACTATTAGTATGCTTCCTAAATTTGCCAATGTCTAAACATTATGTCAAGTGTCTTGTAGCTAGCTACATTCAAGAAAGTGTAGAAACCAGGTGAAAAATGTCAAGGACAATAATGTCATGTGCAAATTCTTGCTTAGAATTTACCAGATACTCCTGTGATAAATGAAGTTTCAATGCGTAATCCCATTTTACTAATAATTTAAAGATAAGACCATTTATAGTATTTTTTTCATTTCATTCAGAGGATACAACATTATCTTCCTCATAAAGAGTAAAAATATAATAGTGTTTTTTGAAAGAAAAAGAAGGAAGGAAAGTAACAAGGAAGAGAGAAAAGAGGAAATGAACACAAGTTTACTCAAACGTTCAACAACTTGCTTCCGGCTTTACATTTGCAGGACTTAGAAATGTCCATTATAATTTGTCATTATAAGAATGTTACTTAATTTACTAAAAGATAAAAAAAAACTTCAATAAAACAAAATGGAAAGAACAAGACTGAAGAAGAGTAGGAGGTAAATGTGTGATAAAAAGTAGTTATGAATACAGATTTTTGCTTTTTTGAAAAAAAGAGAAAAACTTTGCCTTAGTGAAAGAAAGTGTCACCAACATATATATTTAAGTAGAATGGAATTGGCATAGAAACTGTTTGCATTTAAAAGGGGTTTAGATTTTTGCAAATAGAAATGGCACTATAGGAACCTAGCTTGTAAAAAAAAAATTGCATATCAATTATTCTGCATTTAGCCTGTTGGGGAAGAGAAAAGAGAGAAAGAGATTTCTGCAAGTGTAGAAATAATTACAGGGATATTAGGTGCCAATGAACCCAAGAGGGCTGACTTAAAACTTGCTAGGTCCCTCATGGCTTTGGCTACCAACTAGGAAATATTTCATTTCATGTTCATAACTCCTCCTACTTCTCCACACATTCGTAAAGGAACATTAAAATGTGTGGCGAGCCACGTTTTTTTCTCCAGTTTGATCTCAATAAATTTATCCTGTGTTTCAGAATACTACAGACCTTGCTATGAGCTTTATTGGAGGATGAGCACACGAAGATGGTCTCAGACAGACTTCCAGAAGAGTGCCCGTATTAGAGATAAATGAAAAGTGTAAAAAGTTATCTACAAAATGTCCACTGTATACTATACTGGCACATATCCTGGCACCAAACAGAGTAAAATATATGACATTAGCTGGTTTATGTTACACAGAGTGCAGACTGAAAGTAAAGCCATTGCAGAACCCACAACTTAAGAGAATGACGCTGGAATCCTTGGAGAAGAAAAATTGGTGAGTGATGAATGAAAGTTTTATGAAAAATGGACAATATTCCTTAGGTATCTGGTAAGAGCAAAACCAGCTTTCAATTATTGGGGAGTAAGTCTCATGAATCCCAAGTTTTCCCCCATAATTTAATTATCAGCTTTTCCAATAACAATCACTCTATCCGACTAACCAGGAACTTACATACACCACCATTTGCTACCCTGCTATTTGTGCCTGTCAGGTAGTACTCACTTGTCAGCTCTTTAATCTTGAATAAGTCAGACACTGTGATTGCCCTTAAAGGATTCCTATTCTAATTGTTATTATCTTTGGAAAAGAAAAAATTTGTGTCTGTTAGAAAAAGTCAGTGACCTATGGATGGGAGTGTCAAAAACTAAGCATTGGGATCAAACCTATGGAAATCACAGTACTTAATTGATTAATTTGTTTAGTTTATGCTAACATTAGAGATATTTTATATTTTTATATAAATATATTTTAACTGATACAGCCTCCCTGTCATGAAATGTCCTTTACTGATTTGGTTCCTTCATTTGAAGTTTAGCAGCAGTTGAACATTTGTTGTTGGATATTTGAGTAAACTTGATTCCATTTCCTTTTTTCTCTCTTTCTTCCTTGTTACTTTCCTTCCTTCTTTTTCCTTCAAAACACAGCTGCTTCCTAAATTTTCAGCATATTGGTAACATTGAGTATACCATTAGCTGATTCATAAGCTTGCTGACATAAAGCAACTTTATTGAAATGTCTAGGAAGGGATGAAATAACCTAACTCTACTTTTTACTGAATCACAAACATTTCTCTGATGTATAGCTTAAAACGTACTGATTCAAAATATATAATTTTTAGAAAATGACTATTTTAATCAGAGAACTTTCATATAAAGCATAAGAGCCCACATTTTCGGACAATTCATCATCAGTGAAATTGAAAAGTGATGAAATTTTCTTCAGTTATTTATAGCCCTTTTCTCTTTTTTGGTATCCCCAGGTTCGTCCTGTCTTCCCTGTCTAGTTCTACATTTGACTTCTTTTAACTCTTTTATTTTTACTAATTTCTTATGTGAGAGTTCATAAAGTTATATAAGCATCTTAATTACCTATATTTTATTAAGAACTAATGAGCCTTTTTTTTTGCCATATTATGCTAATTATAGCTCTGAACAGTTTAAAACCAGAAAACTAGACTCTATTCTGGCTAAATGATTCATTTGTCCGTTATTCAGTATCTGTGGTATATCAAGAGCAAGTCCTTTTGCTGTATACGTTGCTGCTGCTCATCTTGTTGCTTAGCAGTTGCTTCTCTCTAGGTATTCTATAAAGTGTATTACAGAATTTTTAAACACACAACATTTCAAGAATTTCAACTGTTAAAATATATAGAAAAAATATAATTTCCTTTAACTTTAAAGAAATTTAAAAAGCAACAAGGAGCTTTGCCCCAAACCCCATCTCTACTAAAAATACAAAAAATTAGCTGGGCATGGTGGCGCATGCCTGTAATCCCAGCTACTCAGGAGGCTGAGGCAGGAGAATTGCCTGAACCCAGGAGGCGGAGGTTGCAGTGAGCCGAGATCGCGCCATTGCACTCCAGCCTGGGTAACGAGTGAAACTCCGTCTTAAAAAAAAAAAAAAGAATTTCAATTTTTTCTAAAGTACTTTCTTTACATTCTTCTGAATATAAAAAGAAATATATTATGTTCTTGGGTGTCCATTATTTCTATCTCTATTCTCTTTCACTGGGAATCTTTTATACCAATATACTGATCAGAGACTGATATTGCTTCTAACTTAAAGAAAATTATAAATAATTAAATACTATAGGAATAGCTCAAATGTGGAATATGGAGAGATTTTTAAAATCTGATTAAAATGCAATATCCACTAAAAATAGACTTCTATTTTTTTTTTTTTTTTTTTTTTTTTTTTTGTCTGCAGGTCTGGAAAGAACTGACAGGCCAGAGGTCTAATTCCTAGTCCAGGAGATTTTACTGGTTCTAATGGATTTGGATTGCCATGTACATAACGTCCTATTATGGCATACTGCCTGTGAATGCCTTATCTGAAAACAGTGATATATCTCCAGCAATCCATCTTTTCCTTTCAAAACTGTGAATAAGATGGATGATTATAGAGTTCTATCAAAATCAGACAGACTCAATATAATGACTTTGGATAAAATCAGAAAGCAGAAGAGGAACAGTAACACTGACTGAGAAATTTCTTTTGTTTGCATCAGGAGGTCCAAGGACACTATGTCTGTTTCCAACATCACAGTCTACATGCCCTCTGTGTTGACACTAATAGGGATTCCAGGCCTAGAATCTGTGCAGTGCTGGATTGGGATTCCATTCTGTGCCATTTATCTCATTGCTGTGATTGGAAATTCCTTGCTTCTGATCATTATCAAATCTGAGCATAGTCTCCATGAGCCTATGTACATTTTCTTAGGCATGCTAGGAGCCACAGATATTGCACTTGCTAGCACCATTATGCCCAAGATGCTTGGAATATTCTGGTTTAATGTGCCCGAAATCTATTTTGATTCCTGCTTGCTTCAAATGTGGTTCATCCACACATTTCAGTGTATAGAGTCAGGAATCCTGATGGCCATGGCCCTGGACCGTTATGTGGCCATCTGTTATCCACTAAGACATGCCACCATCTTCACCCACCAGCTTGTCATTCAGATAGGAACTATGATTGTACTCAGGGCTGCTATTCTTGTAGCCCCATGCCTAGTACTGATAAAGTGCCGGTTTCAATTTTATCACACAACAGTCATCTCCCACTCCTACTGTGAGCATATGGCCATTGTGAAATTAGCTGCAGCAAATGTTCAAGTCAACAAAATCTATGGTTTGTTTGTGGCCTTCACTGTTGCAGGGTTTGACCTCACGTTCATCACATTGTCCTACATCCAGATATTTATTACAGTTTTTCGTTTGCCCCAAAAAGAGGCTAGGTTTAAAGCATTCAATACCTGCATTGCTCACATCTGTGTCTTCCTCCAACTCTACCTCCTCTCCTTCTTCTCCTTCTTCACACATAGGTTTGGGTCTCACATTCCCACTTATATTCATATTCTCTTTTCCAGCATTTACTTGCTAGTCCCCCCATTTCTCAATCCACTTGTCTATGGTGTAAAGACCACACAGATTCGCATTCATATGGTAAAAATGTTCTGTTCATAAAATCCACCTTAATTAATGCCTACATGCTTCCTTCTTTTGTAATAGTAACCACATCAAAACAAAACAAAAATGAATATTATTTGAGTTGCTTGGTTTGTGAAATCTGCCAGCATAATAGCTGGTTTTAGATCATCATAGCTCATGAAAGTCATCAGCCAATAGAGTTGTGAATTCTATTTGACTAATGAAAGTGAGAAGTGTGAAAGAGTATAAGTAGTAAATATATATCGTTTATTTTTTTCTCTTTAATTCTTTAACCCCTGGGTTGAGTTATTCCTCTAAGAATATTTCTCCAGGAGGATTTATAAATTATGTGTTTGTCACTGAATTTAAATACACCTAAGGCTCGTCGTTCTGAAATGTCCAGGTACTCAATGAAAATAAGTTGTTGACTCTCATTTTCTCAATCATCCTCAACATAAAAAAAAGGAAGTACATGCTAACTGTGTTTTTGTTAAAGAAAATCTTATGAATATCAAGAGACAACAAAGTCTAAAAATTTAAATACATTTTCAGAGGTATACAGGGAATTACAGGCACAAAAATAAGAACCAGGTATTACATTTTACACATTAATGTTGTTTTTTTTTGTTTTTATTTTTGCTAACCCCAAAATTTACTTCTTTATTAATTCACCAACTTTTATCAAAAACCTACAATATTACAAATATTATACTGGAGAATAGTGACATAATAGTAAATTTGGCACAGTGAATAATTCTCATGTGTTTGTACCTACGTAATTCTGGAAAAGAGAGACTGAAAGGAAGACAGGTGGGGGGTGGGCGGGCAGGGGAAAGAAGAGAGAAATAACAAGTGTACACATGGGATGTGGGGTTCAGAGAGAATGAAGCATTGAAATCTAACTAAAGCAGAGGAGTTGCATTTACTTTATTTTGTTTTTCGGTTAGGTAGTTACCTCCAATTCTTGAGGAATGAAAGATGAGTGGCCAAGGAAGTAAGAACACATCATGCCAGGTAGATAATAGAGCAGATTTAAACTAGATAATGTAGTTTATGGTAACTATAGTTTTTCAATATGGTATGAGTGTAAGGTAGAACTTGGGGAAACAAGGAAAACATGAATATAAAAAATGGCTATTAATGCTGTGCAGAGTTGCTGGACTTTATTCCAAAAGCTATAGTATGCCATTGGAGAGTGTTCACTTGTTTGCTTGCTTTCTACAAGAAAGACACATGTGTGTGTGCATGTGTGTGCACACTCGTGCATGCACACGTGTGCCTGCTTGGACATATGGCAGCATACCACACAGCAAATATAAATAAGTCAAGGCTATTGTGTTAGTGAAGAGGTGGAATATGTTGTCTGAAATTAGCAGCATAAGAATTTATGGCTGGTTAATTGTTCTTGAAAAACCTCAGATCCATTTTTTCAGTTATGAAAAATATTCACATATGTGCAGATGTCCATACTTTGATTTACCAGATTAAAACCACCACAAATATAAGAAATATTGGATTGCTTGTCATACACCCACCTGGTGGATCCTCTGGTTTCAGGGATTAGGATTTAGTAGATATCCATGGCTATTGAGAATGATTATAGGGGATTTCTTAAGGGATCTTTTGAGACTGTTTCAAGTTTCAATAATTACTAGAACTAATTTTATTGGATTATAATAGGGATTGTTTTTCTTAAGTAACATTATTTTCTTAAAAAATAAAACAGCCCCCTGAAGTTCTTTCTTAATATTTTAGCCAGAATTCAGCAAACTTTTACATAAATGGCCAAGTAATATATAGCTTAGGCTTTACGGAAAAAGAGGCAAATTCAAGAATGTCACATAGGCATTAATATAACAAGAAAGAAAAATGTATGTCCACAAATAATTTTCGTGAAATTCAAACTATATTAACAATAATAATAATTACATTGTTTGTCTTTAAAGCAGGTCTACTAATTAAAATAATAGAATTCATTTTTTTTCTTCAGAGTAACAAAGTGTAGCTGAAAGTTAGAGTTTTCCTATTACCAAATTGATTGCAAATGTTCATCTGTAAAAATCGTTCTTAACTAGCGGGCTATAGAGAAACAGGGAGCAGACCTGGTTTGGGATGTTAAACTATTACCAGTTTTAACAGCACCACAGAAATCATGTGCTAATATACAGCCAACATAGAGGCATAATGTGAAACTACAACATATTTGCACCATCTTTGAATTTTTTTTTTTTTTTTTTTTTTTTTTTTGAGACGGAGTTTCGCTCTTGTTACCCAGGCTGGAGTGCAATGGCGCGATCTCGGCTCACCGCAACCTCTGCCTCCTGGGTTCAGGCAATTCTCCTGCCTCAGCCTCCTGAGTAGCTGGGATTACAGGCAGGTGCCACCATGCCCAGCTAATTTTTTGTAGTTTTAGTAGAGACGGTGTTTCACCATGTTGACCAGGATGGTCTCGATCTCTTGACCTCGTGATCCACCCGCCTCGGCCTCCCAAAGTGCTGGGATTACAGGCTTGAGCCAGGGCGCCCGGCCCTGAATTTTAATATCTCATAAAATATGTAGCCCAGAGTTCATATTGTTTAATTACGGTAGTCTTCAAATTTCAGGATCAGTTCCAAGCTTAGACTTACTAATAGAAAACAGAAAAAATAAATGGGCCACTACAAGGAAAAGAGTATAACCTTTTCACACACTTGGATCAGGACAATTATTGAAAAAAATCTTAAACATAAAATTGCTTGAAAGAGAATAATATTTTTTGTAAGGATAATTTCCAAGAAAGATTTCTAGAAATCACAACTTCCAAGAGATTATATCAATTTCAGCAATGACTAAAATAATGTTTGCCTAAATTCTCAAAACACTAGTTATTACTGACATTTTTAACCTTTGACAGTTTGGTAGGTAAAATATGATTCTCTTTATAATTAGCATTTAACAAAGAAATATTTGTGCTGCTATCTTCTTTTCCATTTGTACATTCTTTATGTGAAGGTCTTCATTGTTTCCTTTGTTCATTTTTCTAATTTGTGCCCATTTATTTTCTTCTTGAGTTTAAAATTTGATGAGTAAATATTGAATTATTTCCAAGGGCTTTATTGCTCAAGGATTTACAAGAAAATAATTACTTATATGGAAAGTATTGAGACTAGAATGAATCTTGAAGGTTTGGATTCATCATTTTTAATAAGGAGAGATACAAACATACATACAAACATAATTATATAATTGTGTGTGTGCATATATTTCCTCTGTTCGCCTATAGGAACCAAAAGCAATGAACAAACAGTGGCAATGAATAAACAATCCTTGTTTCAAGATCTTGATTTTCTTAATAACTTTGTTCACAGAAAGAGAGCAGAGCTTTTTGGAAAAATATCTGTTTTTTCGCCTTGAGCTGAAAAAGTATGAAGTCATTTGAAATCATAATGCAGAGATAGACAGTAAGGAAGTACTCAAAGCATGATTGGAACATGTGCAAAGGACCCAAGATCTAGTTGGAAGAAGCTCCTTATGGCAAAATTTAGAAAATTTTGAGCATCAAAAGAAATAATTATTGCAGAGGATTATAGCCCATTGAATAAAATCAGATTCTGTGAATCTGTACAGATAGAAGTAAAGCAATACAAATTTGGGAAAATGGAATGCTCTTCCTTATAGTGTAATGCCAATAAATAAATGAATAGAAAAATTCATAAACAGAATAACAAAACTCATGAGTGAAAGTGTTATGAGGAGAGGATCATTTAAATAGTTTTAATAAATATATCTTTTCACAGAATTCTGTGAATTACAAAGAGAAAAATAGCAACTTACCATGAATCCAGAGTGACATCCCATTAACCATGTGACTGAAACTAACCACATTAACATTAGAACATATCAGCATCATATGATTAATGATATGGTGAAATCTACGGTGTACAACATGATGTTTTGATAAATGTGTACATTGTGGAATGATTAAATAAAGCTATTTACTAGTGACATGTGTATCTCACGTATTTATCTTTTTTGTGGTTGTGAGAACACTTAGCAACCTGCTCTCTCAGCAATTTTCAAGTATATGTAATGAGATATGTTGATTAATTATAGTCACCATGATGTACAATATATCTCTTGAGCTGATTTTCTCCACCTAACTAAACTTTCTTGTCATTTTACCAACATTTCCCCAATCCCCACATCTCCCAAAAGTCTGGTAACCATCACTTTACTATTTGTATTTATGAGTTCGACTTGCAAATTTCATTTTGTAAGGCACAAACTATTTTTTCAACTGTTAAATCAAGTTTAGCCTAAAGCTGCCTGTTTACATATTTTAATTTTGGCCTAAGGGTTTCTCTGTATATTGTGAACTATAACAACCGGAGGTATAAACAGACTGTAGCCTAAACTTGTGCCAATCATTGAGTTTTGGCCAATCAAATGTAGACAACTGCTTGAACCACGCTCAAATAAGGCAAACGCCAACCGGTAATCAATTCAGTTGTTTGGGTACCTCACTTCTCTTTTCTGCTACCTCAGTTTCCTTTTTCTGTCCATAAATGTTCCACCACGTGAGTGGGCTGGAGTCCCAGAGCCTACCCTGGCTCAGTAGGGGTGAGGGGGTGGATAGGGGGGACGGTGGGAGGGGAGATGCCAGATTTGCAAATTGCTCAATTAAACTTTTTTAACTTTAATTCAGGTGAAATTTTTCTTTCGTCACAACCAAGGAAATAAAAGTTATAAATTCTACTTCCCAACGCAAAATTGATATCGATATTATTGTTAGGGAAATTCGAACCAAGAAGAACAGAGAGACCAGGAGACACAAGAGAATCACTTTATTGGAGCTCCCGCTGATGGTAGCCTTACTGCCTGTAATGGCCACCAGCCCCGCACAATGGAAAATACATTGCTTATGTAATTTTTGGCGCAGGAAGACAAGGCAGGAAAAAACGGTTTGAACAAAGACAGTTAGTCATCGACTTAGACAAATTTTACCACCTTCAGAAAACATACACTTTCTCCATGGTTATCTTGTTCCTATGACTTGCAACTGAGGAAGAAAACAGGTTTTGCAGAAATGCGCCTGTAGGCTGTGGGTATAAAGGTA